ACCGTACCTACGGGCTGGTCGCAATTTTTCAACGTTCGGATCAGACAGGGAAAATTCCGTGAAACGAAGAGCCGAGCAATTTGCGAGGGAATCGTCGCGCCGCGGATGTCGGGTGTCGCTAATTCACGGATTGACAAGAACGGAAATGACTTATTCTCTATAATCTGCCACCGTGGGCCCCCGGTGCTCTCTCGCGAAAGTTTCGCCAGCTAAATGAACCTCTAAATCACTCAGAGACGATTTATTATCGTTATTACGCGTCGTCGCGTGGTGGGAGGCTGCCAGAACCAGAAAAGCGAATAAAAAACGAGAAACAGATAGGCGGACGGTGCGAGAGAGACAGAGAGGAAGAGAGTGGGAAAAACAGGATTGGCGTTAGTGTTTACCCTCCCGTTCCCGCGGGAATCATCCGTTGGTAGCACTGAATGGCACTATCTGCTTCACCCCCTTCGCCCGTTGCGCGGCCAGCAATGTTTCAAACCTTTCTGTGTGCGTATATGTGTGTGTGTGTGTTTTTTTTTTGCACATTCCACTCTCCTGCCCATTCTCGTTCGCTACGTTACCGTTTTACTCGCGGCAGTACGATCTCAAAAATTTCCGTTATAAATCGTGTTACGCGTAAAAAAGAAAATTTTTTGGAATCAACCTCAAAGTTCTCGGTCTTCCCTAAAGTAGCGTGTATTTCCGCAGGTTAACTTGAACTTTCAACAGTGTATTATTCGATGCACGTGGAAACATGAAACTTTTAAAAACGCAGTTAGTTACGCGGGGTTGTAGGGAGTTAACTCGTGAAATTTAAACGTCGAGAACGCGCGTGTATTTATAACAACTCCGTTATCGAGTTAACGCGATACGTATTTAATATCCGCCGGTCCGTTGCATCGGGAATCACGGTTTTTCGATATCAGCGGGGAATGATCGTCCAATTGTCGAGCCGATATTTTCTGTAGTCGTTATCGGCGGCGTGTGCGTCGGGAGGCGCCGACGTGGATTATAGGAAAACGCGCGAGGGAGGAAATCTGTGTACGTATATAATCGAACGAAGGTTAGAAAGAGAAATAACGAAGAAAACCGGCGAACGGCGACAGAGTCGAAAGGGGTGGAAAGAGAAAGAGGATCCTAGCAGGAACACTGAAAGAGAGGGATCCTTTCCAGGGCGATGCCTAGCTCCTAATTGCATGCCAGAGAGTGACTGCATCTCCTCCCTTTTCCCTGCTATTTTCACCCTCTCTATTGCACTCTCATTCTTCCTCGTGCACGCGGTGAGTATTTGCAAGCTACCACCTCCCCCGCGCGCTCCCAACAGCACGCCACTCCGGAAACGTGGCATAAGAAACGTTATTGCGCCACTCCGTGAAATTTCCTGGAACGACCCTGCCGCTATCTCCTTTCTCCATTCCGTTACCGCCACCCCCGCGACCCTCGGCGACGTGCATTCGGAAAAGGCTCCGAGCAAGTATATTACGCTCCGGGTTGACGTTCTTCCGGGGTATCCTTTCAACTGTGACGCTAATATCGTCGAACAGGGCCAAAGAAAGAAATACAACCCCGGTAACGAGAACGAAAGCAGGTGAGAGTAGTCGTTTCAGGGTCGTTGAGGAATTTATCGTACCTATGGAGCGTTTAAAAAATTGACGCTGCGCTTAGGGGTTGCATAACTCTTCCGAGGAAATGTACACATTTTGTACCCAGTGGTAATTCTTTCAGGGGATGTTTCTACGAAATAAAATACGACAAATTGTACGCTTTGCTCGTTTTTATTAGCAACGAAACTATGGCAGATACCGCGATAAATCTAGTTCGTACGGGCAGTCATGTTTTCTACAAGCTATTAAACTTTCGAGTCGAAAGCTTCGCTAGTTTTTGAGATATCGCTTCCGTAAGCTTGAAAAATGTGGTTCCGAGAGAAATGGTTTTAATGCTTCCGATCATCACTCTTTGCAGCAACACAACGTCTGCTTTAAACTCCGGTAACTTTGTCAATTATTCAAATTTCTGGCCACAATTTTGCCGGAACATCCCTAAGATAATAAACCGTGGGAGAACACGACGGAGGCTCAACTTTTACGTAGCGGTAAATAAGAAGGCACCGTTAACGAACAGAGTAAATAGACAAAGCGTGCTCGGAGCCTTGGACGAAGTATTAATTTTTTTCCCCCGTTTTCTAGTTACTCTTCATTAGCCCGCGGCTTCCATCGTACCGATTCGCAATCAATTTAAGCTATTGGACCTATTGGTGATCCGTTAATACAGAACGAAAACAAATCGGTGAGCAGGGGCGGGCGGGGGTCGACGAGGTCGGAGAAGTGGACGTGCCTGATGGGATTTAAACGTCAATACCAGCAAGTTTCGAACGTCCATTAAAGAGGATTAATTTATTGCCGTAGCTTTAGTCAAAAACAATCGAATTCGTCGCGTTCTCTCGGTGCCGTCCTCCTAGTAATATTCCATTTAAGAGGATTTGTACACTCCGTAATTTTCAATTTACTGCATCGTCGTTACTAGTGCCCCTTTTAATTAAATCAAGCTTCAACCTTCCTCGTCCCTCGGCTCTCCGTCCCCGCCGTGTCATTTCATTTCTTCGACTAATATTTTCACGCAATTTTCGTTACCTTCGCGGCGCAATTTCCTCCGTGGCGATAAAATTTACGCGCCCAATATCGCGCACGGTATTTTTGCACCGGGATATAGCGGTCCCCGTGTCTTGACTCGGGATAACGGCAGTCCTGTACCTGTTGATCTCTTGCGGGGGATCCTCGATCCGTTTCGTCCGTCCTTCTATACGCAGCCGAGGGGTAAATAACTGCCGGCAGAGACGCCGGGGGGTGAAATTATGCTAGGTTCTTGAAAAGCAATAAAATAAATCATGCTTCGCGAGGACACACGTTGCGGCTGTATCCACCTTCTCTTCGTCCGTCCTTCCTTCTCTTTCGCTCCTCGACACGAAGGAGAAAGTTGCCCAGGCGACTTCTCCCGCGGGAAATCAGAGAAAGATGCACTACGTCGCAAACGCCCCTTTTCTCCGCCACCCCCTCGACTACCTTTCGCGTCCTGTGCTCTCTAGCTGGTCTTCTTCTTTCCATAGAACGACGCCACAAATTTTCGCTTTCCGCGAACACGTGTGCGATCCCTTTCGTGTTTTTCGACGCCCGTGGAACCGATCGGTCGTGGAGACGGATTGGACGGAAAGCAAAGAGACGCGTCCGAAAATAAAGCAGTAAAAGAAAACGATAGTGTTCCCCGTGAGGTACGGTGAAGTCACAGAACAAAGTCTGTTTGCAGAAACAACCAAATATCTTTACAATTCCCCACCACATGCTTCTCGTGCTTGTTTTCGTTAACACTGATGTCTCTGCCTATATGAATGAGTCGTTGTACGAGGTCTGCGGTAGTCGTTTGTTTACTTGGGATTTAATACACTCGTTATCGAATAGAAGCACCTGCATAATCGAGTTGTATGCGCCTCGTTGACTCCGCGAAGTTCATTGTATCAAAACAAGACGTTTCAAAGGAATTTTTGTCCATCTTGCTCGAACCACGTATTAAGCCACGAGTTCTATTTACGTGAAAGCGAGCTGGTTGGAGTCGACCACGGTCTCCGGAGAGCGGTGTTTCAACTGAAAGATTTTAGAGAGTGTTTCTATGAGCCTTTGAACCAATCCTGGCCGCAAGAGGGTGAAGAGTCGGAGGTCGAAGATACGCGTTGGGGTGAAAAGCAAATACGAGCTGCGGTGGACACGGCGAGACGAATAATCCGGAGTTGCGATTCGACCAGGCTTTAACAATTGAATCGAGGCTCGGTATCAGCCGGAAACACTGTCGAGTCTCCAGTATCCGTACTAATAGAGAGACGGGGCCGATTTTCAACCCGAATATTTAATTAACAGCGCGCGCGTGTGAGTTTTTATCGAATCTGTTCGCGAGCACTTGGTTCTTCCGCGAGTAAATCGCGTCTCCGCGTACTCGACGCGTCAGACGATGAGATATACATATAAAATGTGGAATGTGTGGGACCACACACGTACATTTAGCGCAGTTATGTGTACACGCCGATGGTGAACACGAGAAACCACTCAGAGAACCTGTTCGAGTCGCTATGTTCCGAGACGCGGGAGACAGACTTGCGCTCGATGCACACGCGCGTAAATAGCCTCTGTGTTTGTCGGATTTTTTTTCATTTATCTGTTTTCTTCTCTTGCGTAACAAAGATAGAAAACTGAAATAGAAGGCCTTCGACTCGAGCGTAGATGTCACGAGGCGTCCAATACAGTTTTCCTGGTTTTTTTTTATAGCAGACGGAACGCAACAAATAAAATCACAGACTGATTTTTCCATTTTTTCTAAGCATAAATATGATAAATATTTCTATACAGATAAAACACGCGTTGTCATGATGACATATATCTTTACTTGTTTACTCGGTTATCTTCGTTTCAAAAAGCATAAGCAAATATCAATACGTTGTAGATATAAACGCGAACAAGCGTGAAAAGTCACCGGGAAGCGTAAATAATTAAAAGCACCGATAAATCTTCCGCCATTCAGGCATGAGCGATTACTCTGTTCCAAGTTAAAGGCATTCAAAGATACGTCGATCTTCCGGGCTGCGCAGGCGGAATATCGCTTGTTACACGATTATCGGGAAACATTTCTCCGCATGAATAATTACCAACGATTAATTAAATCCACGGTATTCGCGCCCTATTGTCGCGAAAAGTACGTCGCATTTACAGTTATTCGAGCGAACCACCGTCACGATCAAAAATAGAGGAAACTCAGTCATTCTATGAGTTTGCGGAATGACGTTTCCGCAGGAAATAATTTTCCATTTTAAGAACAATAGTAAAATATAAACCGATCGCTCGAGATGGAATAGAAATTCTGTTCGCTTGAAATATTTTATAAGGAAGCACTGTAATCTCTTGATAAGTTTCATTTGTTTATATTCAAAATAAATAGGTGATGTGTCATTCTGACGTATATTGCGTTTTCTGTTGCAGGTATAACCCGTTTAATGCCGTGGCCTACTGAAAACGGTGAACTTTATGAGAACTTCGGTAAGCACCAAACGCAGATTCGTAATTTATTCGTAATTTCCTTCAGCTGCGACACATACCCAGGATCCGTTGGTCCCAGACTAATATCGAGGCTCTAATTCTGTTCGTTTTCACACTAGCGAAACTATCGGGAAACTGTTTTGTTTGCCGAGGAACTCTTACTGCTCCGTTTCCGAGATGCATCGCCCGTTGCATGCTGCAGATAAGTAAAGAAAGTGCGCCTTTGAGAGTGCTCGAACTTTACGCGTAATGCAATTTATGGCAATATTGCGCTCCTTTAATTTGCGACAGATAAACTCCGTAGCTAACGCAAACAGTCGCATACTAGATTTTCTCTTCGCCAACGACAGAAATCTCTGCACTTACTTTTAGCCAAATTGAGATTAAACAAAATATAAAAATCAAGTAGACCGTGTATTTAGCGTGTCTTCACTGGAAGATAGTAGAGAATTAAAAAGTTACCGAGTAAAGAGACTATTTGGAGCGGTGGAAAGTTAAAGAGTTGTAGAACGAAGACTGACGAGTTAAAGTAAGAGCTAAAAGCTTCGAGAGAGCATAATAGCGTGTTTCAGTGTAATTTAATCAGTCGGTAAATCCATTCGTATTATTGGTTAACGAGCCTGTTTCGATCAGTTTGTTCGTTCGTTTGGATGGTAGTTAGGAAACTCAAGTTCCGTTAACGCGCAAATTAATTTACCATCGAGGAGCATCGATTTGTCAGTGAATTTTGCATTCTTGGGAGTCGGTTAAATGGAGCTTAGGTGTAGGCAGCTTCCGATAAGGCATCCTCTGTTCTCTCTTTGCCTCTCTGGTCTCTGCCAAAGGCAGCCTCTAGGTAATTAAGTCGAGCCCACAGCAGCGTCGCTTCCATTGTGCGGGGCAAATGGGCTGTTTAGCCCGGATACATGACTCCATCCCCCTGTTATTGTGCATGTACCGACGCAATCGATCACCAACCCAACCCATTCTCGCCCTCCGCCTCTCTCTGACCATCTCTCTTCCATCTGTGCCGTGTTAACCTTCTTCTCCCAACCTGTTCATTTATCCAATCCCGATCTCGTGAAAATTCTCACCGTCGTTCAGAAATTCAATCGACGTCCGATAGAAATTTGAACCCTTCTTACCGTATAATCCAACCTAAAAATTCCATAAAAAAAAGAAAAACAAGTATCTAAATTACTGGAACAAAAGGATCCGCGTCAATCTACGCCTCGAAACCTTAGAAACATCCGGCAGAGGGTTCGCGAGGGAACGAGTTTCCAGTTCCAGTCGAATCTGGCCGAATGAAATTCGATTCGACGGTAATAATACACGGTGTACGTTTCTCTTTCGAAGTGTATTCCGCCAAACAGTTCGAGCACAGATCGCGCGAGAGGGAAACGAAAATATTGTTTCACGAAGATACATTTCGTTCGTGCCGGCTTGCGTGACACTCACATTTCCCGTGTGTGTGTGTATGTGCTTATGCTGAAGTGTACCTGACTGGTGGATAGGAAATCCAGTTGAAACGAATTCAGGAAAATCCTCTCTGGGGAGTGGACGACGATTCGTGCTGCTTCCTCGGAAGAGTCTCAGCGAACTCTTTGACACGGGACACTTTAAAAACGTGCGAGGAATATCTGAAGTATGCCACTTTAGCGGTAACGACTCCCTCGGATAAGGGGGAGCTCCTTTTCGCTTCTGTCGACGCAAAATTACTTCCCGCCGAAGGTTACTTTTCGGATCTTAATTTAAATCGTGATCCCTTTTCATAAATATTTCGCCCCTCTCGTTGTCGCCGCAACCCACCGCTATGCCTTCGTTTTTTATTAAAGGATCTCAGGAGATATTTTCAATCGCGTTAGAGTTAGGAATTTTAGTTAGAAATTAAGTATATAAGTGTTGTTCGAATCGCGTTCGTTGGTCGATGATTCGATCGAGGTCGCGAGTGGGTGTCGCAATTACGGAGTTTGTTGTCGCGTCCGTAGTTCCAAGCTGTTGTATTCCCAAGGAATATATAAGAAAGGGAAGCGTCGTCGTAACTCTCGAGCATCGAACGAACGTAGTTTCGCGGAAAAGTTTCGCGGCGCGGTGAACTTTTCGGCGACATGTCGCGAATATTTCACGTACGTGGAAAGAATTCGCGAGCCGCGCGCTAGGTTGGTTATTCGCGCGAGAAAACGGGAACGGATTTCGAACAGAGATGACGAACGGCGTCAATTACCATGGACCACGTGTGTTCCCGGGCTCGTGTAAGACGGATATTGGACGGCCATCAATGGCGCCCCTGTCATTAAGCCTCGTTTCTATCGATCAGGTGCGGTTTGGGAACCACCTGACGCTTCGAGAATCCGCCTCGTTCCTGAGGAATTACACGATGTTCACCGCAGATGTACCGATTCGTCGGTGAATAATGGCTTCCCGAACTCGGGAACCTTGTCACGGATTCTTCGGCCGATAAATCAGACGACGAAACAACGTTGAAACGTTGAAAATTTGCCAGACCCGGCCGGATTAATTGTGAATTTTTTACATCGCGCGGAAGTAACGATGACAAAGTACCATCTACGCTCGGAATCGTCGTTTCAATAAATCAGCGTATGACGTTGCTGAGATTGAACGCGTCATAGATTGTTAATCGTTTACGCGTCCATGGTCGAAGAATAATTCTGATAGATAGTCGTGGATGGATGATATTCGCGCCTCGAATTTGTAAGTTTCCAAGTAAAAAACTTGGTTGGCAGAAATTATCGTTCCTAAATAAATTTTATAATATTGTTCTTTTTATTACGCTGACTTAAAGTGTCGTAGTTAAACTGGAATTCTGTTTGACTGTACTCGATCTCATACATAACATCCGTGAATGCTTGGTTTTCGAATCGACGATATTGCTTGCAACGAAGAACTGGAGCATTTGACTGCGCGGAATTTCAATGATTTATGGCAGTATTATTTCCGTCGAACAAGCTCGTCGATAAAATAATATCGAAACTTCAGGAGCGGTATTATTGAGACGAATTGTTTTCGTTATTGTCTCGACGTATTCGTATACCCATTCGATTTTTCACTGCACGAGAACGAGGACCGGAGATAGGAGAAGAGAGCACTTATCCGAAGCATTGCTGAGTAATTCCAATTTGAATGATCGATGTAAAAATATAGGAAGTTTGGTATGAAGTTGTCTGTCAACGCGTCAATCACCATCGACTCTATTTTTCGCGATGTAACGATACTTCGCCGCCGCTTCTGTACGGATTATGGTTCGATGAGCGAAACTCACGTCATTTTGACATCGTAGTGGAGCTTTATCTTCTCCTTCCAACCGTTTTCGATCGTCCAAAGCGAAGTAACATAAAAGTATGTTCAACGAGTGGAATTTAATTCGGATATAGTATGTATAATACGTTCGAGGCGAGCAAGGTTGGTCGCGAGAGAGTTTTCGACCAGCTGGGGATAATCTACATATTACTATCAGGGCCGGGTGCATTTGCATTCCTCATTCGAATGCCCGCAGAGCCGGCATCTTCCGATATGCACGGACGACGTGCTTGCGATTCCGCGACGATTCCGACGACGAACGCGCGGAAGTTAACGCGAATCATCGCCGGGCATTGCACACCGAGTCGATATTCAATCAATCAAGCACTGCATGAGCAAGTTAAGAACGTAGTTACGAAGTTTCAACCGGGAATTCTGTATCTTTTTCATTAACTGAACCAACACACGGCAGAGAAGTATTTTTAAGTCAATTTTCCGAAGTCGAGGAGACGTTCGAGCGAAATTGAAGTTGCGAGATACGACTTATATTCCGTGTCTCCGTAATCGTGATACACGATTGGATGGAATTTCATACTTTTTGAATTTTCCTCTGCATTAAGCAATTGTGTCGCGTGAAACCGTTTCGAGAGATTACAATGAAATTTAGAACGCGTCCATAAAATAGATCAGCTATATAACATCGTAAAATTTCAGTCGATGGGAGATCGTCGGGGACGCCAACTATAAAATGCACATTTCAAATTAGTTTCGTTTTTAATCTAGTCTTTGAAGCATATATTAGTTTACAAAAATAACGAAAGAAGTTAACCAGTAGTCTAATAAATTAGGTCGCTTTAGGAGCTGGTGAGGAATGTCCAAAGCAGACGTTCGAGAAATAAAGCTCATTCGGTCGCGTCTGTAGCGAAGGCACGCTTCGCGGGCGCAGCCTTTGGGAGTTATTTCGACACGAAATCTGCCGGAGTTCCGCGAAAATTTCGGGTCGGCCTCTTAGCCACGCGGGGATGTACGGTACCTGAGTTTTCTCTACGTTCGTTCCGAGAATCGTAAAGTAGAACAAGCTGCCATGCCCTCTCTGTCTTCCCTCGAGTGTGACGAAGTGGTCTAGAGTTCACTCTCCTCTCTTTATATTCAAAGTCTCTCTTCCTGTCCACCCTCTTCGCTTCCACTCTCTGTCTCTCTTGCCTGCCTCGGCGTCGTTCATCGTTCACGGTTTTTAAAATTACAACCGAGGCTGGGCTTCCTCGAAGAGACTCGTCCCCGCAACAAGTTTCGTCCCCTTGGAAATCGATCGCGGTTAATTCGATACTCGAGGCTAGTGATGGGACCGAGACGACGGTTACTATCGATACATTGACGACACAAATTGATTCCCTCCTATCAATCCACCGAACGACGCGATACAAACGGTTTGAGACGCGTGGATAACGTATCAATTACAACAAGTTTGATGCACGTTTACAATCCTCGCCAGAAATAAAACGATATGACGTTGCGGCTAACGGCAGCTGACCTACAAGACAGATCTCTGTTCTCGTTGCTCAGACTTTGTCAATATACAGGGTGTTCGGCCACCCCTGGGAAAAATTGATATTCTTGATTTTCGTCCTATTTTGGCCTCTAGAATCTCCCATTAAAATTTTTCCAGGAGAACACATTAGTAGCTAAAATTATTTTAGATGATACGTGTCGCTTACGCAACCAAAGATTAAAGGGATGTTATTAATTTTTAAGTAGGATCTCTT